ATGAACACAAAAAGATTCAAAATTTTAAAATTTTTCGGGTGGAAAATTATATCAATCAAACACACTTAATTAATAATTCTCTGGAAAACAATTTCTAGGCAATTACTTTCTCTAGAATTCATTTTCTTTCCACCCATTTTCCACCCTTACAATCAAACGGACCCTAACAGATATTTTAGATTAGTTTGTCAATTATTAGTAATTGCAATTGTGTTTAATATAGTATCATGGAAAAATAAATAATTGTTTGGTAAATGGAAATTGGTAATATAGAGGCTGAAGGGAAAAAGGAGGAGATGTGTCCAGATAATTTTATTTGACTTAATTTATAAATCAAGGGTGAATTGATTTTAATTTATTAATAAGTGATTTATCAATTTCAATTTTTACCCATTATTCAGACTCGACACTTAAATCAGTGAAATCAATCATCACTAAATTGATGTTTTGGGCATGTTGTAACTTTATATGTTTTTGGGCCATATAAAATCTATTTCATGACTAAGAAGACATGTTTGCTTAGATCAATATTGTTAAACCATATTTGATATTTCATGGTTATGTTTATTTTTATTGTCTAAAGTTTTGTGACACATGAGCATCATTGTGTTCGATTATGTTGTCCAAGTGGGAGAATTTGTAAATATTTATATTTGGACTAACATAATCTCTAGGCTCATAAATATCGTCAAATTGATCAAGTGATAATCTATTTAATTAAATCATATTGATTTTGCGGGATGTGAAAAATATTAATAATTGTATATAATAAACTTGTTTCTATTACAAAGTAAAAGATCCGCTGCCATGGGAAACACGCATGATGAGTCAGGTAATATTAATAAACAACTACAAATTGACAAGGCAAAAGCAGAATCCGAAAATGACAGAGGGAAGTATGCTTTGCGGGTTTGATATAATTTATATAGAAGTCCATCAAATTGGAGTAATACCCATGTGCAAAAAATGACAATAGTGGTATAAACGGGTAGCAAATTGACACAGTATGCTCCTTCACAGAGATCGAATGAGGAATGGCTTACCGTTTGGTCGGGGGGAACTTTGCCACTGGGAGAAGTCGTTTTCCATGGAATCCGGTCACTAATTCGTGCTAGACACCGGATTTGTTGCCTGAGTTCCAACCAGATCGAAGCCTGGAACACGGTAAAGGAGAAGAAAGTGAAAAATCTCCACAAAACCGGACTTGGTTAAGGAGAAAAATTACTTGGGTCTTCGATTGGGATAGTGAAAAATGTTGTATGTATACTTGGATTTCTGAGAACTTGTTCCAATTTTTCCGATAGATTTGTTCCAGAGGTCGCCGTTCGCCGTGATCTGGTCTGTTTCTGCAACTGTTGGAGAGGAGTAGGTGGAATTGGGTTTTGGCCTAAATGAGTGTAGATGTAATGAAAGATGGGGGCAAAAACGGAAACATTTTACAACGGGATGAATTGTTAAAAAATTGGGTTTCTGACAGCTTTCTTGACTTTGGGGAGCCTTGTCTGAATATACTGTAGGAGAAATAGATATTTGGGCAAAAAAAAAGGGTTTCAAACAGGGGCTAAATATGTGATATTGACATTTTTGGAAAAAGTTCTTAGGTGACTTCGTAGATATGCTAGTGGAGTTGCAATTTGATGGTACCAAATTATTGTTCAAGAGAAACGTGAATAAATTGAATCCATGAACATAAATAAATCATCGAGGGGGATGGGTTTAAGCCTAAGAAAATCACCTCCGAGAGAACCCTACCTTTATGATTGGAGATCCCATGAAGAAGGTTCAATGTGGTAGAAATAACTCGTATTGCATGACTTGTAATAGCACTATATTATTTGTACCCATCCCCTATGGTGATAGTGCTAGTAATAATGTAATGTCAGGAAGTGTTAACTTTGAATGAGTATCGAGGTGAGAATTCTTGCGAGGTGTGGATCACATACACCCTTGGATGACTCACCTACGTAAGAGTTCCCATGAGGCCGTGACTATGAGATTGGGCTATTCCCTAGAGACTCTTACTAGAATCAAGATTAGAGTGGATGACCATTAACAGCGCTACCCGTTATGAACTAGAGCCTAAATCGATACTGTGTATGAAACAACTGAAATTTGGCCAAAGGAACCTAATTCAAGGCTTAGTCCATTATGACTCCCTCAAATGGAAATTGTTATCACTAAGTGAGGTTCAAGTCCNAAACAAGCCTACACTTAATGCACGGTATTATGTTGTCACTATATATACATATATATACAAACACACATATGTATGTATGGATGTATGTATGTACTGGGGGATTGTTGTAACATATAAAACCAAAAAAGTCTTAAACCTTCAAAATTAAAGCTAATTTTAATATTGCAGTTTTTTTTTGTTTTAATTGCAGTTTTAATACAAAATAATTTTAGATTGTAACCTATATTTTAATTGGATTAGTGTTGATTATTGTGGGCGTTACTTTAACGCTATAAAAGGAGGTGATATTATTTCATAACTATGACAACCAAAACTTGAAAGAATATTCCTTGTTCATTTTATACCAACTCAATGAGAGACTCGTTCTTTATCTCCCTATGGTCGTGCCCATAGAAGGAGAATCAACTGTGAGCCACGTGAGTTTTATCTTGAAATCGTCTAGTGCCAAAAATACCCGCACGAAGGGGAGGCAACACGACTTTAGGACAATGTCTTTAACGCTCCCTAAGGCTTGCTTTCTAATTCTCTACTTATATTTTATGTTTATGTTATTGTTGAATTCTTATATTTATGTTATTTAATTGATTATGTTAATTGATAATTAATGTACACACAAATCATCCATTTTTTCCAACAATGATTTTGTAGTAATTGTTATAGGATGGAAGTAATATGTGATCATCAGGCTGCGGTAAAATTGAGTGGGCTGTCTGAAAAGGCTTACAATAGATCCTATAATTCAATGCAAAATAGCATTGGTATCAAGTTAGTATTCATTTTCTTTTTAAGATCTTTGTTACTTCTGTATATGATTTTCTTTGAGTTGCTCAATTTTGTTCTTTTTTGGGCTAATAATTTGTAGGAACAAGCTTGATACAAGAGAGTTGGCAATTCAATTTGGATGTATTAGGCTCATCCCTTTTGTCCAGAAAGGATTGTCTTTGTAAGTATTGGACAGCTATCAGTTCTTTTTTGCTTCCAAGGAACATAAATAGATGTATTTATCGTTCTTGTTTAACATTCGACTCATTAGTAGCATCTTGATTCTACACTGAGATCTATTACTTAGTGCTCGTCACTTTTTATCTCGTGTTCAGGGAAATGTTTTGCATGAAAACATTGATACGGCGATAATAAATAGTACTTCTGTTGGTTTTTAGGTACAAGGATCGGTTTATTGCCTCACTTCCATCCTCCCGTAGAGCTAGTACTGACATCACACGGCCCGTGTTTACTGCTGCAGCATTCTACCTTTGTGCTAAAAAACACAAGGTTTGCAATATTTCTATAATGCATGTCAGTATGTATGTACACTCTTTGTAGACGAAAGCATGTCCTGATGTTATAATTGATCGATACTTGAAAATCTTGCAGCTTAAGATAGACAAATCTAAGTTGATCGAGCTTTCTGGCACATCAGAATCTGAATTTGCTAGTGTAAGATTAGCTATTTGTAATTGAATATTGTGCAGATGTAGAGACTGAGAGTAATACTAGAGATTATTTATTGTAATTTCAGGTATCAGCCTCAATGACAGACCTCTGTTTTGATTATTTTGGGAGAACAAAAGAAAAAAAGGATTCTATAGAAGATAAAGGGAACCGTGGTAATTCTTATAACTATTATTCATAGCATTTGTCTAATTTTTCCATTCTATTTGTTTCCTTTTTCGGTTAAATAGTTGACAGACTTTCACCACTTCAAGCATTGCAGTACTTTAACAATGCATAAAGGGATATCATTTATTTTATCAAGCAATTGGTTGTACATTTTCTTGGTCCTTAACATGCAGAGCTTGTAGATGTGCTCCCTGAAAAAAGTAGGGTTGAGGACGATGGTCCTTTATCCGATGATGGAAAAGAGGTAAATCATGAGCACGATGTTTTAACTATTTTAATCTAAATTTTCTGGCACATTTATTTGGAAAAGAGAAAAAAAGAAACAGAAGAAACAACTTATGCATGGCATGTTACGCTAATGATTTCAAATGTGTAGGTTTATGAATCATGTAACATGAAGGCATGGGATCAGCTGAAAATTCATAATAACTACTAGCTAGATGTTAATTTCCTTGGACCTCCTACAATACATCCTGTGGCATATTTTTCATTTATCTTCGTTTTCAGTTATATGGTCTCATATCTCCTCTTTGTTATACAGTCTTTCATTTACCTCATTGTTTACTAAAAGCTTTTAAGGTGTAATGTGTTTTAAATAATAGTTATAAAAAGTGACAAATTCGGGAATTTTATGTAGTGTAAAAGTCTCCTTTATATACCACAAAAGTACTGTACTTAGATGTAAGAAAATACATTAAAGAAAGGTCCTAAAACTCCTTCCGTCTCTCTGCCACTGTTCCTTCAATTAAGTGCTGCAATTACTCTCATAAACACAACCGATTTTGGCACCCTCCAGCTGATAAAACAGCCAACATTGCGGTATCAGAGGATCTGGGTTGGATTTCTTTAATTGCAGCAGAGATTTAGCAAGAAAGGTTAAAGAAATAGAGGGCTTTTGTGAAAAAAAGATGACAAGAACAAATGGTTCAATTGGGAGTTTACAGAAACCATATGTACCAAATTTTATAGCCAAAATTATGATTTTTGGTCTGTGAAGATGAAAACACCGTTTCTATCAGCAGATTTGTGGGAAGTGGTGGAGGCAGGCTATGAAGAACGTGGTGAAGATGTGATGTAGGACACTCTTATTTATAGTAGGATATTTATAATAGGATTTCTTCTTGTAATAGGACTTTAGCTCTTTATTTTTTTCTTTTTTATTTAGAATATGATTTCTTCGTCTTTCGGACTTCTTCCTTCTTATTAGATTATGACTTTAGGTTTCTTTTCTTTTAGGATTTTAGTTTAATTTCCTTCTATTAGTAAGATTAGGTATTTTGCCCATATATTTGTACACTTTTCACTGATTAAATCAATATAATAAAATTATTCTCTACAAATTTTCGAGTTTTCATCTTTCTTGTTTCAAGAATTTTAATTCTGCTTCCACACTAAAATTGGTATCAAAGCAAGGATTTTATATGACAAAGGACAGTATTCGTAGAGATCGAGTTGTAGACGATGAACGGAGGTTTGAAAACTTTAAGCACCGACTTACCGGGCTTGAAAAACCTTGGCAATGTCTAGCATACTCTAACTGGATTCATCGCCAAGGGTAGGCATTCACAACAATCCTAAACATGGAAACTTATATTTTGGTGAGATTCCGTTGGAGGACGATTAGTGACAGCAATTCGAATAGGAAGAAGACCATATACCGAACCTTAGAAACCGTCGACCTTTTCCAACCAATTTAAGGAAAAAACATAGAAATCTCAACCTTGGAGGACGATCCATTATTGATCCAAATCTGCGAGGATACCACCTACCCATCGTTGACATAAATACAATACGACACAGACCAAATAACAATCCTAGAACTCGAAGGAATGAAGCCGAATGTGTCACTTTCTTCAAGCCGAATCCTAGGGCACATCATTGCAACATTCACAACTTCGAGGTTTACAACAGATATGGAGCAAGTAATTTTCAATGTCAAAACGAGGGTTTTCGGGATAGCACCAACAATTTTCAATGGTGGGATGCTCCGAACCTAAAGTTTTAGCCACCAATAGATCCATTCCAATGAAGAGGCTCACGAGGTTTTGGAGAATCATCTAACGAAGAGAACACGATGAAGACAATTTAGCCCTCAAGTTTATGAACTTGACCAAGTTGCCTCCCAAACTCAGAGGCAATGTCAAAAAAGGCAAGGTTTTAAATGAGGATGGATTTACGCACTTTCGATGGCCGACTACACATTGAAGATTTTATTTTGGATTAATAATGTCGAGAATTTCTTTGATTATCTAGAAATTTTCGAGGATCACTAGTCAAGTCAAACTTGTAGCATACAAATTAAAGGGAGGAGCTTTGGAACAATTAAAGAATGAAAATTGAACTTATTTTATTCTTCTTTGAATGAAACATGACCAACGAGTGATACACATTTTGCTTGCTTCGATTGCCAAGAAAGTAAATGGTTTTTGGATAGTGGATGCACCAACCATATGACTTCAAACAAGAATGTTTTTGTCGACATGGAGGATTCTAATTCAAAAGTGAGATTAGGAAATAGAGCCTTGGTAAATATAATGGAAAAAGGAGAAATTGGAGTCTAAACAAAGAAGGGCTCAAGACTTATCCATGATGGTATGTGCTGACTTGGATCAAAATTTACTAAGTGTTTTACACCTTTTAGAGAATGGTTACTATCTCCATTTCGAAGATAATTCCCGTGTTATTATTGATAAAAGAGCTGAGCAGTTAATCCTAGCAAAGTTGAAAATGGAAAATAAAAGCTTTCTTTTAACTTCAAATATTCAAGTGAAAGAGCCTTTCAAATGGTGGCTAATGGCTCATAGTTATGGAAAAGAGAATTGGACACTTAAACTTTCAAGGTCTAAAGCTATTGCAGTAGAATATGATGCAGGGACTCCCTATAACTGAAGAAAAAGATATCGTGTGAAGGATGTGCACCTGGAAAGCATCTCAGGCAACCATTCCCAAAAGGGGTAATTTAGAGAATAGCCACTTGAATTAGTACATGCGAATGTGTGGAAGTATTCATACATCCTATCATTCTTAAAATAGGTATTTCATTCTCTTTATTGATGATTTTATAAGAATGACATTAGTTTATTTCATGAGGCAAAGATCTGGACTATCATTAAGAAGTTCCAAGTTTTTGTCGAAAATCAAATTCGCCATTTAAAAAAAAAAAATTGAGAAGTGATAATTGTAAGGAGTATACTTCAAGAATATTTGATAAATTTTGCGAAGATGAAGGTGTCGATAGATAGCTACAGCCGGCTATACTTCACAACAAAATGGTGTATCCGAGAGGGAGAACCAAACAGTGATGGACATGGAGAAGTCAATGCTTCATGAGAAGAAACTTCCAAACACCTTCTGGGCTGAAGCAATTTATACTACAGTTTATTTGATATATCAATGCCAACGAAAGACTATGGAGCAAAACTCCTATCAAAGCTTGGAATGGAGAAAACCAAGGGTGAAGAGCTTGAAATGACACAAACTTGTTCACTCAAGTGAAAAGTATATTTTCATTGGCTATAGCTCACAATCTAAGGGCTATAAATTGTATAAGTTGAAGACCAAGAAAGTGATCACTAGCCAAGATGTATTTTTTGATGAAAATGCTACTTGGAATTGGGAAAAAAACTTGAAGAGCAAGAAAGTAGTTGTTAGCCGTGATGTGTTGTTTGATGAAAATTCTACTTGGAATTGGGAAAAAGAAGAAGCTGAAAGAAATGTTGTTGTCCTAATTATTTTACCTAAAAAATCAGCCAATGAAGAAGAAACAACTTCACCAAGTTCAGTATCATTATCAAGCAGCTCCTCAAGCCCTAATTCATCATCACCAAACTCAACTCCAAGAAAAATGAGGTATTTGAGTGATCTCTATGAAAGATGCAATTTTTGTATGGTTGAGAAAACTTCAAAGAAGCCATGAAGGAAAGTGTTGAGAAAGGCTATGGAAGATGAAATTGAAGTATTTGAAAAATCAAAACTTGGAAGCAAGTTAAGAAGCTGGGTGGGAAAAAATGGGTCTACAAGGTGAAGCACAACTCGGCTGGATCATTAAAAAGGAGCAAAGCAAGATTAGTTGTAAAGGGCTATGCTTAACAGCCCTGGATTGGTTATGATGAAACATTTGCTCCACCAACACCTAGACACTATAAGAGCACTCATTGCTTTAGATGCCCAAAAGGTTAGTTGTTATACCAACTTGATGTCAAATAAGCATTTTCGAATGAAGAACTCGAAGAAGAGGTGTATGTTGAACAACCTCAAGGATTTATTGCCAAAGAAGAAGAAGACAAAGTGTACAAACTAAAAAAGGCTTTGTGCGGGCTCAAGCAAGCACCAATGTCTTGGTATAGTAAAAACGATGGCTATTTCCCACAAGAAGGATTTCTAAAACGTATATACGAGCCAACCTTATATGTGAAGCATCCAGGTAAAAACCAATATTCTTATTTTTGCATTATATGTTGGTGATTTTGTGTTTACAAATAATTCAAAGTCGATTGAAAAGTTTAAAAGAGGAATGATGAAAAAGTATGAAATGCATGATTTGGAATTTCTAAATCATTTCCTTGGCAAGGAGATATATCACGATGAAAGTGGTAATTTGTTTGGGTGCAAATCAGTAGTAACACCTCTTGCATGCAATGAAAATTGATGGAGAAAAGGTGGATGAAATACTGTACAGAAGCTTGATTGGAAACTTGTTTTATCTCAAGGATTCAAGGCCCGATATCATGTATGAAGCAAGTTTACTCTCAAGGTTCATGAATCGTCCTAGTCAAAATCATTTTGTCGTTGCAAAAAGAGTGTTGAGATATATAATGGAAACAATCTGCTATAAAATCAGATTTGAGAAGCAATCGATCTTAAGTTGTCTGGCTATTGTGATAGCGATTGAGCAGGTTGTATTGATGATATGAAAAACACCTCCAGGCATTTTCTCTTCGCTCGAGAGTAATTTCGTGGTTGTCCAAGAAGAAACAATCAGTTGCTCAATCCTCAGCCAAAGCGAAGTACACTTCAGCTTCAATTGCAACTTCACAAGCAATTTGGCTAAGAAGAATATTGGAAGACATTGGAGAAAAACAAGATAAAGCTAAACAACTATTTTGTGACAACAAATCACTGGCCTTTGTGCCCGCTTGTCCATTTCCTTTCTCAATTCCACCTCCTTTGCTTGCTATGGCAAATAATTTATGTTTTCATAGTCAGACCAGGCACATTGCAATCAATTACCACTTCATTCGAGATGTAGGTGAAGATGAAGAAGTTGAACTCAATTTTTGTAGGTCTGAAGAACATGTTTCTGATATTCTCACAAAGGCATTGCCACCAGTGAAATTCCAACAACTAAGAGCAGCTATTGGAGTTCAAGAAAAACACATTAAGAGGGAAATGTTAAGGTGTAATGTGTTTTAAGTAATAGTTAAATCTCCTTTATGGACGACAAAAATAATGTATGTTAGATGTTAGAAAGCATTCTGAAGGTTCTAAAACTCATTCCTTCTCTCTGCTCTCCCCTGCTTTCTTTACTTCACTGTTCTTTCAACTCAGTGCTGCAATTACTCTCATAAACAAATCAGATTTGGAACCTACCAGCTGAAACTACAGCCTACAAAAGCCACAGAAGTACTTATTTTGCTCCTAAGGTAAATGACCACCTTAATTTCACGAAAAGCCATGAATGTCCTTAGTTCTAATGATAACTAAATAACTATTGTTGGATTATGAAAGTTCACTTGCTAATTGGTTGCACGGAACAATTTTTTAGATTGCTGCAGACTTGGCTATGTTGCTGCAGAAATATTCTTTCCTTGTTATCATTTCAACTACAATTTTTAGACAAGTCCTCGAACCTAATTGTACATGGGTAATGCGATGTGTTTACAGCTTTCGGTCTACAAGAAGCACAAGCAAATGTAGAAACACGCTCACAATGAGTAGAAGTCTGCAGTTCTCCAGTTTAATAACCTCAGTAGGGCAAAAGGTAGTGATGTGTGCCCACTTTTCCCGTATGCCCATAAGTTTCATTCAAGGATCTACATTATTTCGTTTATATTTGTAATATTGGACTTTAAATTGTCCAGGTCCTACCGACTCCAAAGAAAACCAATGAAACCAGACTGGATTGCCTGAAGACATTTGTGGAAACCAGAGTGGAGGCTACACGAGAGACATACTCAGACGTCATTTCTTGAATAAACAAAAGTGACAATATAGTAGTGCTCAAAGTTTGGCCATTTGGGATAAATTAGAAGATGAATTCTCATGGAAAGAAGATACCAGATAAAAAAACATTTTTAAGTTGTATTAATCTAGAAATATATCAATTGCTTAAGTTTTTCATTGGTAGATTTATCTTTTTGCTGTTTCAAGAAAATCTGGAATATACTTTCTTGATTAACCAGAATGAGTAATGCTGTAAATGGTAAAAATCTTTGTACAGAGCTTGTGATTTGATTGTTAAAATGCACTTTTGGACCTTGGTCCTATTTTAGTTCTGTTAGGATTTATCTTATATTGGCAATTATTTAGACAAAATAATTATTATAAAAGAATAGGATTATTACAAAAGAACTGTAAAAGTCAAGAGTCTTTTGGAGGGTTGTATAGGTGAATTAGGGAGTCTTTGGGTTCAAGTATGGAACAAGGAGAAAGAGTCGTCGAATTTACGCTAGCTTATCGCCTAGATAATGTTCGAATAGAAAAAACAGAATATTGTCACCCACCAGTTGCTCGTCTATCACTCGAGTGACACACCTCTCGCTTTCTTGTCTCTAGCTAGGAGCTCGCGCGACAGTGTTTATGTGAACCCCAAGTTCGCAATATTCAAGATTCTATCTATCATATACTACTCAAATACATCTTAAGCTTGGAGCTCGAGCGACAGTGTTTATGTGAAACCCTAGTTCGCAATTTTCAAGATTCTATCTATCATATACTACTCAAATACATCTTATTATAAATATTCAATGCTCAGTACATTTTTGGTGTGTGGTTGATCATTGTTTTACGTCTTCATAACATCATTTCAAGATCCAAGAACACATCTAAATATTGATATTAAGCCTTTGATTCTTGAGATCAATCAACCACTAGTTGGAAAAAACATCAAATTCAAATAATCCAAAGCATCCACTTTCTAAATAAAATCAGGTAAGTACTTTCTCAATAGCTGTCGAGTTGTAAAATGGCTATAAATAGATTAGGAAAGTAATTTGTTTTAGAAATCCCTTAATTGGAGGGATTCTGTTATTCCTTAATTATAGGCTGATTCAGTTTCCTATTTTTCCTCTTGTAAATTACTATATATTGCCGTGTATTATCAATGAGAAAGAAGATTTTTCCCTTCTTATATTTTGTTTCATGGTATCAGAGCTTCGGCTCCTCTGGAAATTTTTCAGGCAGCCTTCATTGCT